GCGGCGGGGTTCCGCGGCCCCGGGGGGCGGAGCGGGGCGAACGCTCCCCGCGTTGCTGGGAAGGAGGGCTCCGCCGCCCGCCGTGCCGACGCCGCTCCTCGAGTTTCCCCCCTGTAAGTGCCAGGGAGCTCCTCGCGGTCGCTTAAGGCCGTTCGTCGTCGGTAAAAATCGGCTCTGCGGCGGCAGGTATTGCGGTGGGTCCTCCCGCCTGCAGTCTCTCTTGAACTTTCTTTGGAAAAATCTCTCGGCTCTTGTTTCACCAGCCGTTCCTGACGTTACGCATTCTTCTTAGTGACTTTCTTACCCCCCCCCTCCCCCCGCCGTGTCGGGGCTAGGCAGGACAAGCGGCTGTTGGCTCCTCGGTGGACTCCTGGGAGGGCCCCGCGTCGGGCGTGCCGTGGCAGTGGATGGCGGTGGCTGTTGGCGTGTAGCCGCGAGGTGTTGTGGAGCCCCGGCGGTGCGCAGAGGTACGGTGTTGGTGTTGTGGGGGGCACCTGTCCTCTGGTCGGTGTTTGCCTCCCTGCTATGCTGGGAAGGACGTCTTTATGAGAGCGATGGGTGCTCTCTGACAGAATGCAGAGTTGTAAACAGAAGCGATGTTTTGTGTAAAGTTTAAACACAGAGCGGAGCTTTGCACCTTCTCTGAGGTATGCTGCTTGGTTTGGTGTACGCCGTGTCTGCCCTGGTAGCACGTTGGCTTATTCCATTGCAGTGGACATCTGCAACGCTGTGGTTGCTATACTGGAAGTATCTGAAATAATTTTTTGGGGGAATGTTCCTTGTGCACAAAAGATTTATCTGTTCCAGGAAGCAGATGTGGTCTTGCCTGAAACTGGTTTTCAGGTGGTTATGTTCTTACCTGCCTTGTAAACTGCTGATTGAAACTGCGAGATATCTATGAGTGTAATTGAGTCCTTTCACTGTAGGATTGCCTGATTTTTCTTAAGGTTGTATTATGAAACTAGTCTTAATTTTTTATATGTGTTTTTAATACAAATCTGAAAAGCATAGCTGTATCTCTTATTTGTAAGCCTGCTGTTACGTGTTCTTGAAGATCTGCGCATATATCTGCTCGTCTTGATTCCTTCTGCCAGGGAGTTTGTGGATGGTCTAGTTGTAATTCTTTGTAATTTCATTTTGATAATGATGCTCATAACGGCAGACTGCATGTTTGGGTTGTCTGAGGGGCAGACAGGTGTTTGTTCTTGGAGTAGTTCTTTCTGGGTAACATTCCAGGGAAGGAAATCTTCAGCGTGAGGTTGTATATGAAGTGTTGAAAAAGGAAGATGTTTTCCATCCCTTCTTTAAAATACCAAATGTATATGTTGCCTTGTAAAACGTTCAGCTCTCTCTGTTTTATTTTTTTATTGAGTTGTAATCCCAGGAAGACATTTTGTACTTTCAAGGATGAGAAACCTGGGCATTTGGTCAGGATATGGATTATGAAACAGTGGATTACGAGTGAGAGTACCGTACATCAGCAGGGAGGTCTTACAGCGTGCTCTGTGCAGGTGCTGGCTGGAGGTGGCTCTGAGCAGTGCCCGCTGTCATCATTTGGCCTGGCTCCTGGGGAGGGCCTGCAGGAGACTTAGAGATGTGATGTGTGTTGCTCTGTTGGAATTGGAAGATGCACAGTTGGAGAAAGGACTGCTGGTGTTATTGGTGGAGTGAGGGTTTGTGAAAATTTGGAACTGTTAAGTGTTTGATTTCTAATCTTTGCTTTTGAAAGAGTGATTGGCTCACCTGTTGGAAATGGGGAAACTTGAAAGATTCTTCGAATGCTTTGTGGTTCTTGCTGTGTTTTGTCAAAGGCATATTCACGTCCCAAACTGTACGGGAACTGCAATGCAGGTATTGAAATACAGGGAGCAGGTATTAGAAAATGCACTCTTACTCTTGTGTGTTGTATGTCACAGTTCCTTGTGGTGGTCGCAGGTTTGAACTTTCTGTATATACAGTTCTTTGTGGACTGTTACTGCTGTTGTGTTGCCTGCATTGATTTTTGCCTCCATTTATTCTTTATTGCAGTCTAAAAGTTGGTTTTAATTGGTTGCCCACAGGATTGGCTTGGCTTCTGCTACTTGTTAAGAAAAAAACATCTGTCTTTGCAGGTAAGAGACTTCAAATTGAAGACTTCTTTTTTATGCATATTGAGTATAGCTTAATAAACAAATAAAGCTTCTGGAATCCCCGACTCGATATCAAAACATGTGGGTCAGACTATCCATAGGTGGTATTTTTCTTTTGACTCCCACTGGTGGTGGTCCTTCTGGCAGCGGTGTGCTCACAGAATAGAGTTTTCTGCCATACTCAAGTTTTGTTATTTCATCAGCATGTGGCAGTCTGTAATGCTCTCCGTTATTTTGCTCTGTTTGAAAACGTAGCAACTTCTCTGCAGGCTGCAGGTCTGCCTGTCTCCAGCTATTGGAGTGGAAGCCTGTAGTAACTGGCTCTGATTAACTTTTGCAGCATATAAAAGTATCAGACAGTCATTTCTGAGCTAATTTAAACCTTCCCTCATCTAACCAGTTAACTTTAGCATAAAAAAGTAAATTAAAAGTAGCAAGGAAAACCCTGTAGCCTGCAGTTGTAGGTATTGCTGGACAGTCTCAGCATGGGTACCTTAAAATCTTCCTACAGCTAGAACGTTATTTCAGTCCTTCATCCAACAGCTGCTGGATATGTTGTGCGTGTGCCATATAGGTGTTGTACATTAATGCTCCCTGGGGACAGAATTGAATGTTCTAAACCTGCCTTGATTTGACAAGAATTGCGCATCTTGAACTGCTGCTCTTGTGGTATCGTGTCAGCTCGTGCTGAACCCAGCCCTCCTGCTTGTCTTACTGACCAGCACACAGACGGAAGTAGCTTTGCACCTCTCTAGTCTGACATCAGCGTCTTAAGAGCGTGTTTGAAATGCTGTCTGTCAAGAGTCATCAAAAGACTCGGGTTAATTGTAGGCAGGCTTTCACTTTCCCCTTCTGACTTGGCGCTGTTAGTGGGGATGTTTCTCACGTGACTTTGGGATAAAGTCTCTGCAAGAGAATCTCAGGTATGTGAGCAACAGTGGAAGAGCACTTGTGCGTGAAGTAGCTGAGGAGCAGCAGCTCTGGCACCCTTGTGAATGTGCTGCCTCTGCACCTGCTTTGCTCTTCAGGAGGCAAACGTGGCAGTACGTGAGCAGGCTGTGCTGTTATGGTTAGTGTGAAAGTTGGCACAAGTTGCTTATTATCTTCATTATTTCTTTATTATTATCTTCAGTGCACCTTGAAATAAATCTGATTTATGAATGTGGAATTTGGCCCTCTTGCTACTGCCTTGTGATTTTTTTTCTTTAAATCACAGAAGCAAAATGAATGTTTTTTTTTTTTTTTTTTTTAAACAATGAAATCCTGATCAATTTTGCAGCAGTTATGTTTTGAGTTAATAAAATACTTTTAGCCAAAAATATTTGACTTAGTCCTTAAAGTTTTTGTTTATATCATGCCACCGTTAGCTTTTGCTTAATATTGAGCCCTTGTTTTGTATCACATGTGGAATTAGTTAGGCTGAGGTCATTACGACTCATTTTTTTGGCAAGTCCATTCCTAAGCAGCTATTTGTGTTCTTGTGGCAGTAGCTATGTAGTGAAGCTAGATAGCATGCTTAGTAACAAAACTTCAATACTTCTTATCACTTTCAATGAAGCTTTGAATATCATGTGAGTTTGAGACTTTGTGTTATCCCAGAAGCTTTATTGGTGTTTGAATGCTTGAAGTCTTCAAGAGTTCTTGTAGCCTTATCTGTTAACGTGCCTTCTGGGCTGGATTCCCAGAACCACCAGGAAGCGTGGCTGCCTGTGAGCTGTCAGCTCTGCCCACGTGCCTTCTGCAGCAGCACCTCTGAAGGAAGGTTGCCAATGTTGAGCTCACAGCCACGTCAGGTTGTTGTAAGGAAGTGACCACGAGAAAGTAATCTTCCACTAAATAGCAGGAACTTGAAATGTCTGAGTTGGGATGCATAAAAGCTTCAGAAATTAATTTCTTTGTGTAATGCAGAACACACAAGTCTTACAGTTACTATTTTAGTTTTACAAGTGTAGTTGCATTGGTTGCCTGTGGACCAACTAATTAGAAAGTGATCCTGTAGCTTTGAGGTGATGAGGTAAACGGGTGTTTTGCAATTGCAGTTAGTGTGGCTTCCTTAAAGTAAGCAGAATTTTCATTTTAACTTCAGCTTCAGAGCTGGCTGTTGATATTGGGCAAATCGGTATCTGCAGAATCGTTGAAAAATACTGCAGTTTTAACAGTGCAAAAAGTCTCGTGTGCTTTCTTGGATGTGTGCTTAGCATAGGTGGTTCCTGCTTTGTTCTCAGTTTATTTTTCATGTGGACCACTTTCTTGTTCCGTTGGAAAATGATTGGGCAGTGAACATTGTTACTGAGTGACATGTGAGCATGCCTGGAAGAGATGGGTGCCACGGGTTCTGTTGCTGTCTCGCTTGCAGCGAGTAGGGAAAGGTGGTTTTCAGAAATGAATCCTTGAGGCTGAGCGCGTATTTTTCTGTTGCTGTACCCCTGATGAGGTAGTGGGTTTCATGGTGGTTTGTAGAGGCTGATTTGTCACATTTTCGTATTTGTGGAAGCTGAATTCTCTTGCTCAGGTTTGCCCAGTGAGGAGTCAGGCGCTCGTTTGCAGTGGGAGCAGCTGCAGAGTTTGATGCTGTGCTGGGGGCTTCTCTGCTGTTTGCTTGAGGGACAGGAGGGCTCCTCGCATGGCTCCTGCCCTGGAATACTGTGTGTTGCACAAGGTTATTGGTGTGTGGGAGAGGTTATCTCTGCTTTATGGACAACAAAGCGATGTATTTAAGTCCATTACTGCATTGGAGTAACCTGATGTCTTATCATGCTAACGAAAGAATTTTCTTCCGTGTAGAATAATTAAGTCTTATTTTCATTAAGTACTGAATTCAGCCTTATGCCACGTTAAATTGTTGGGTACTGGTTCTATCTAGTAGGTCAGAATGTGTTTCTGGTGCTTCCATGCTAAGATTTCTGGAAGACTTAGGCAGGCAAACGTAGCTGGCTGAAATTTGACTGTAACGCCGGGATGCTGTGCTTAAGGAATGGCAGTGCTGAGCACTAGCTGTCAGTTGGTCATAGCTTTGGTACGTTGCTGAGCGGTTGTCTCTTTGGTGGTGCTCTGCCTCCTGGTGCTGCCTTGTGTCATCTGGTTCATTCTGGACTTCCAAGGCCTAATGAGTATTGTAACACCATTTGTATGTGACTGATGGGAGCCTTCGAGCTCTTCCTTTGGTTACTGAACTGGCCTGTGCTCTGGGAGGTCAGGAAGAGATTAAGGCATTCAAATGGAATCGAGGTACCGGTGCGGAGCGTTTAGAGTAAGAGTGACTTCTAGCTGGTGAATTAATGTGTTGGTATTGTTATGATGCTTCAGAGATTGAGAGAAGACATGTTGAGAATAAGTGAGAATTACCTCATTTTCTTCTTGAAAAATACTTTTGATGTGACCTCAGGGGGTCAGGATTGATCTTAAGCTTCCAGTGACCTCAGCTGGTTATTGGAAGTAATATACTTGTGCCAGAGACTGAAAGTGTAATATTAGACAGCATGTCTACAACTATTAAAAAGTTACTCCTTCATTCTGGAAGGTTTAAAGGCCAACTGCCTAGCTAGAGGGTGCACTAGATGTCAATCTAGTTTAGGGGTGCTCTGTGAGATCACAGAGTGTCTTGGTACAGCTTATAGCTGCTTGTTTTACTGTTAATTAGGCCTCCTGCTTTTGGTAGGAGAAAAATCTGGATGGCCTTCATAAGGACGTGTGATTCACACTGATATCCATAATGATATCTGTTCGTAACCTGCTGTATATTCTCAGCCCTCGTCACCTGGCAGGAGATAAAATTCCTCCTTAAATGGAAAACAGAACAGTTTATTGCCCATAGTAGTGCAGAAATTTTCAGTCACTTTACCAGGTACAGTGAATACCCAATCAGTTACGTTATATCAGTATGCTAACTTGACTTTGTTTGCTTGGGTGAGTAAATCTTGCTGATGTTTCATCACATATTCAGATGTGGGTATGATACTTGTGATTTTTGCTGTTCCCCAGGTGTGCTTTTTTCCCTTTGGTTAGAAGTTTTATTTTTTGTACTGATGCTTGTGGGTCTTGGTGTAAGATATTTTGGAATTTCTAGTGCAAAACGTACACGAATTATGTTGGTTAATGCTTAATACTTCTATCTGTGGGAAGTAAGCAAACTTGGAATCCTTGAACAAAGAACTTGGAATATGAACATGCTTAACTTTTACAAGATGTTGTTAGGAGTATGTAAACAAATAAAGTAGATGGGTAAATGTAGGTAATTGCATGGTGCCATAAACAGTAGTCTGACATAGCCGTTGCCTTTTCTCATCTGCAGGTGTGTGTTGTTTCAGCGCAGCATGGCTGTGGTCATCCGCTTGCAAGGTCTCCCGATTGTGGCGGGGACCATGGACATCCGTCACTTCTTCTCTGGATTGACCATTCCCGATGGGGGCGTGCATATTGTAGGGGGTGAACTGGGTGAGGCTTTCATCGTTTTTGCCACTGATGAAGATGCAAGGCTTGGTATGATGCGCACAGGTGGTACAATTAAAGGGTCAAAAGTAACACTGTTACTGAGCAGTAAAACTGAAATGCAGAACATGATAGAGCTCAGCCGTAGGCGTTTTGAAACTGCTAATCTAGATATGCCGCCAGCAAACGCTAGCAGGTCGGGACCACCTCCTAGTTCGGGGATGAGTGGAAGGGTTAACTTGCCTACTACTGTACCTAACTTTAATAATCCTTCTCCTAGCGTAGTAACAGCTTCCACGACTGTGCATGAGAGCAATAAAAACATATCCACATTTTCTACTGCCAGTATGGGGACTGCACCTCCAAATCTTGGAAATACTTTTGGTAGCCCCACGTTTAGCTCAACTATACCCAGTACAGCATCCCCGATGAACACAGTACCTCCTCCACCAATCCCTCCTATTCCAGCTATGCCGTCTTTGCCACCGATGCCTTCCATTCCTCCAATTCCTGTTCCTCCTCCCGTACCCACACTGCCTCCTGTTCCTCCGGTCCCACCGATACCCCCTGTGCCCCCAGTGCCCCCAATGACACCTATACCTCCCATATCAGGAATGCCTCCTCTGAATCCTCCGCCTGTAGCACCTTTACCCACTGGAATGAATGGGTCTGGAGCGGCAGTGAATATGAACAGCGGCTTGAATCCATTGTTTATTGGTCCCATGAATCCTGTAAATCCTATCCAGATGAATTCTCAGAGTAGCGTCAAACCAATTCCAATCAATCCGGATGATTTGTATGTCAGCGTTCACGGAATGCCCTTTTCTGCGACAGAATCTGACGTGAAAGAATTTTTCCTTGGGCTGCGTGTGGATGCGATCCACATGCTGAAGGATCACGTGGGTCGAAATAATGGAAATGGACTAGTGAAATTTTTTTCTCCTCAAGATACATTTGAAGCACTGAAACGAAACAGAATGCTGATGATTCAGCGGTATGTTGAAGTTAGTCCTGCAACAGAGAGACAGTGGGTGGCTGCCGGAGGCCACATAACGTTCAAGCAAACCATGGGCCCCTCTGGGCAGCCGCACCCTCCTCCTCCACAGCCTCATTCTAGGTCCAAATCTCCCAGCGGACAGAAGAGATCCCGGTCGCGATCTCCCCACGAGCAGGGTTTCTGTGTCTATTTGAAAGGTCTTCCCTTTGAATCGGAGAACAAGCATGTGATCGACTTTTTTAAAAAGCTGGACATAGTTGAAGACAGCATCTATATAGCTTATGGACCTAATGGGAAGGCAATTGGGGAGGGTTTCGTGGAGTTCAGGAATGAAGCTGATTACAAAGCAGCTTTGTGTCATCATAAGCAGTACATAGGGAATCGTTTTATTCAAGTTCATCCAATTACTAAAAAGGCAATGTTAGAAAAGATAGATCTGATTCGTAAAAGGTTGCAGAATTTCAACTATGACCAGAGAGAAATCATCATGAATGCTGAGGCAGAGTCAGGCTCGCCAAAGCTGTGTGCGCATATTTCTAATATTCCATACAATATAACAAAAATGGAAATTCTTCAGTTTCTAGAGGGACTGGCAGTAGAAGAAAGCTCTGTGCAAATTCTTGTTGATAATAACGGGCAAGGTTTAGGACAAGCACTGGTTCAGTTCAAAGCTGAAGATGATGCTCGTAAAGCAGAGCGTTTGCACCGTAAAAAGCTGAATGGAAGAGATGTTGTTTTACGTTTGATTACTGTAGAAGAAATGAGAGATATCGAGAGAAACCCTCCGTCTCAAGGGAAAAAAATCCTGAAAATACCGATACAAGGAAACGTAGCTGTGCCGGGAGCGCAGCCCCCTGCTGGAGATGAGCATGCCTTCTTGGGAGGAAATCCTAAGGATGCAAACAATGGTCCTCCGTTCAACTTCCCCGGTAACTTTAGTGGGTCTGGCACGTTCGGTCCGCCTCTGCCACCACCTGGAATAGGGGGCTTTGCTGATGCTAGACCTGGAATACCTGCGGTTGCAAGCGCTGCTTTGCCCGGTGCGGGTATTGAGGTCCCAGGTTTTGCAGGCGGTCCTGCTAATTTGAGTGGACCATCGGGTTTTGGAGGGGGCCCTCAGAGTTTTGGTAACGGTCCTGGCAATCTGAGTGGACCCCCTGGCTTTGCTGGTGGGCCTCCAGGAATTGCCGGCGGTCTTGGGCATTTAGGTGGGCCTCCCGCGTTCGGACCCGGACCGGGAAACATACACATTAGTGGGCCGCCGGGTTTTGGAACGGGGTCTGGGAAGCCAGGACCAACCGTCATTAAAGTGCAAAATATGCCCTTCACTGTTTCTGTGGATGAAATTTTGGATTTCTTTTATGGTTACCAAGTGATCCCTGGTTCAGTGTGCTTAAAATACAATGAGAAAGGCATGCCCACGGGAGAAGCGATGGTTGCATTTGAGTCTCGTGATGAAGCGATGGCAGCAGTCGTTGATTTAAATGACAGGCCTATAGGCTCAAGGAAAGTAAAGCTTGTTTTAGGGTAGCTGTTAATATGGAGTAGTTGTAGAATAGGTATTCATAGTGCTGTGATAAATGCATCCGGATTGGTTTTTATAGTATTTCCAGGATAGAACCTGTGGATTGTTCCAGTTGTAAACCAGACTTGTTTTGATAAGGCAGAGCACTGCGTTAGCCGTGGCAGAAGAAGCACTGCAAGGATCCATGCGCAGTGGATTTCCCCGTGCAAACGTGTGGAGAAGGTAGGCAGGTTATTTTTCATCATAGACGTTCGGTGAGCTGGACGCAGTGCTTAACAAGGAACCTTGGCTGGTGTTTCGTAGTTTCAGATAAGGGAAATAGATGAAGTCAGTGAAGCTCTTCAGTGAGTGCTCTTGCAAGCCATTGTAAAATAGATAGCTATTTCTAGATTTGGTTAAAAGCTGGCTGAATTTGCTTTGTTTACAGGTCAAAGCTTTGTTTAAAGTCCTGATTTTACTCTGCAACTGAACGAATTCTGAGTGTACACAGATTAATTGTTTTGTGTATGTATTTTTATTTTTTTTCCAAGATTCTGACTGTATGAACAGTTGAATTATGCCCATTGCTGATGTGTCTACCAAACTAATTCCTATGAGTATGAGCAGAATCGTTCTGTAAAATTCAAGCTGTTCTTTGTGGAATAACCTTTAGTTATTTATATATTGCAATTATAACTGTGCAGAATAAGACTTTTGCCACGAGTATAGCTAACCTCAAACATTATATGAGTTTTATAGTACGTTTAAAACATTTGCAGTAGAAGTAACAACTTGAAAATGCTCATTATTGTTTAAGTAGCTTGATTTGTTAGGATCACATGAATCACTTGGGATAGGATCTTTGACACTAGTTGGGTATGTTGTATTTCTCATGTGTCTCTTGACCTCCTTACATAGAGTCTCTGCTAAGAGAACCAAAGCGGTGATTATTAGTTGAAGATTGGAGTCCAGTTTTAAATTAGTTTATATGTGAAAGAAGCTTTTATCTTCAGCAACTCTGTCATGAATTACTGCTGTGGGTGAACTGAGAGATAAAAATTTATTTTTCTCCAAAACTTGAAAATACTGAGTTTACTATATATTTTTGCAATAAACTTGTGCTGTCGTTGTATCCCGAGTCTGTAAAGAGTTGCCATTTTCTTTGCTGTACAGTAAAACCCTTTCATGGAAAATTGGAAAGGAAGTAATGACACAAGTGACAAGTATAGAAATTTTGGTTCATCCTTGCTTGGCTGATGATAAATTTTTCCAAATTGGGGCATTGCCTGAAAAATCCCACTATTCCCTGCAAATCATTGTACTTAAACATAGCAACCTTTGAACTGTTTTTTGCTTTGTTTTTATTTTATTTTATTTGTCGGATAAGGAAAAACAGTGCCTTTTGGTGTTGCCTATCACGGAACACTGAAGTGTATGGTCAGGCAAAATTGCGAGGTGCAAGTGGCAACAGTTTTATTCCTGTGGTGTGTAGGAGAGCTTTGGAAACCTGTGCGGCGCTGCATCCTGAGAGGATTCCCAGTACAGGAATGTGTGGAAGGATTGTACAAAGGTGTACTTCAATAAAGAGGCGGTTGCATTACACAGATGCTTCTGTAATTCATTAGCATAACTTTGTTTTGACAGGTTACTAGGTGGTCCCAACTTTGGAAAAGTCATGTGATTTGTATATACTGTTTAAAATTAAGCCTCCTGTTAATAAAGCTGTCTGTCTCTGAAGCTTCATATTATGCGTTTCAACAGTCTTTGGGAGTAATGTTTCAACAGCAGATCTTTGTTTTTTCTCTCTGAAAGTCTGAAGTACTCTTGCTGATGTCAGAAAGATGTGTGATTAGGAGTCAAGCTTTTCAGTTTATTTTTAAAATTTTGCTCTTTGTTTTTTAAACAACTTTTATTAAAGTTTCATACTATATTGGATTTATTTGGATGCTTGTTTCTTCATGTTTCACATTAGAATAAAATGACCTAAAAGGAAAACTTGGCTTAATTGTTCGCAGAACTGCTTTCAGATGTTTTAGTGTGTTGATTTGCGGAAACTGGTGATAACTGCTTTTCACGTTCAAATGAATCACAGCAATGCTTGCCTTGTTGTGAAATGTAATTAAACTACAGGTGTCTGGAATTAGATGCACGGTTTTGTGTTACTTTCTTTTGCTTTCATGTCCCTTGATCCTCTCGGTAATGGATACAGGGTTATTGGTGTTGGCGTTGGACATGGCATGTTCTGTGACACATGCTTGTTGTGTGCCTCTTCCTTTGGGCTTTCTAAAAGAGCAGGTTTATTTTGGAAATCATCTTCCGATTCTTGATTTTCTCTATGGTCTGAAGATGTTTAAATGCTTGTCTTAAACAAACCACAAAGTGAGTGAGTACGAAAATCCATTGGTGTTGGGAACATGGGCCCGATGGAATGCTGAAATGAAGGAGTTGGGGCGAGGAGCAGGCTCTTCCTTTCCCAAGTAGCTGGTGCTTTTTTGTTTTGTTTTGTTTTGTTTTTTAGTGTAAATTAGGAATTATGTAGGCTCTTGGGGAGAATAGGATGTCCTGGCATGCATATGATTTCAGTATGCAGTATGAACAATATAGCTGTTGCCCAAACAGTTACAATTGATCTTTTAAAACACGTACAGAAAAATCTGGCTATTGAGTGTCACTTTCAAATATCAGAAGTTTGCTGTAACAGCTTACTTTCATGGTAGAAGCAGCCTTAAAAGGAACACGGTGTTAAACTGTGGAGGATACTCTGCTTTTAACAGATCAGGGAACCCGATGTGACAAAATTTTTCATATGTGTAAACATGTGCAAAAGAAACAGCCTTAAATAGAGGGTTGGACCTCTGAGGTCCTGTCTCCACTGTGCAAGGTACGTAACTGCACTCTCGTACACTTCCAGGCTGTTTGCTAGTGGGGATAGCAGTAGAGAGGATCAGCTGGTGGGCGCTACGTAAATCCGCAGCTGATGTGACTTCGATGCCTGGAGCGCCAGGAGCTGACGGCCTCAGCCTGGTTGGAACGTGCAGTCACTGAAACTGCTGCTGCACCTTCATGTTAAGAAAGGAGGTACTTAACCTGTGTTACCTAAGGGGCTACGCTGGCATTCTCAGCAGTTGCTTTAAGTGCTGGTATCTAAGCACTGCTTGTAAAAGTGCTATAGTGTCACATACATACCATGTCAGAAACTATGGTTGTTTAACAGAGATCATCTCCTTCATGAGCAAAATTATTCAGCAATTAACTTGTGACCCACATGTATGAATTCTGACAGCCAGATGACAGTGTAACATTGAGGTTACCAACTTTTCCAGCAGTTACACAGATGTTACGATTGTATTTTTTAAACAAAGCTGAACTCCGCGATACCACTGCCAAAGATTTGTCAACAAAGAAGTGGTGTTAATGTTATTGCCACATTTTCAACGTGGACTTAGAAACTTGAGGCTTTGTAGGTTGTAAGAAAAGGGGAAGGTACTTTCAGAAATAAATGTTCATTTCATAGCGTTTAATATTCTACTTGAATGTCTGCTCTGAATTTGTTGCGAGTGGAAAGAAAGACTGATGCAAAAACAAAGGCTTGGTTTGCTTCAGTTGGTGCTGAGGGTCTGCTTTGGAAAGGATGTCCCTGCTGCGCAGTTCTGCTAAGCTGGTCAGGCTGTCCTTAACAAAGTTGTTGCCTGCGTGAAAGTGTTTCTCTCTGAGGCGTGTTGGTGCCATGAAGACTGCAGAGCCTAGAGAATGTAATTACGTATTTCTTCCCGTTTACTCAGACACGCGTGCTGTGCTAACTGTAAATCACAACATCAGTGATCATCAGTCTGTTCATGTGGTGGTTCCAAAGCCAAGAGCAGCAGAGTGCTGCTGGGCCTCACTTCTTGTTGGGATCTATGCGCTTCTGAACTGTGTTGGCCTTCCAGTTACAAAAAGGGAACAGCTTGATGTTCTGAACCTCTTAAAGCCACTGTTTGGACTACAGACCACTCATTGAGAGCAGATATTTCTGGAGGATTATTCAGATATACGGGTTAAACCCTTAACCAGAGGATTGCATACAAAGACCAGTGCACACAAGAGGTCAACTTCTAACTTTGGTAAGATAATTGTTGGGAGGAAGCAGTTCTGAAACTGGATTGGTATAATAGGAAATAGTTAACTTAAATTCTGTTTTTGTGAGAGGTTTTTGAGAAACTGTGCCTCGGGCCTGGAAGCAGCATTGCTGGAAAAATGCTTGTCTTTGCTCCATTGCAGGTTTGCTGATGCTGCCAGCTGTTCTGTGGGTGTATGGCTTGCATGGCTTTGGGAAAACCACAGTAGTTGTGTATCGTTAAATGGCTCTTCCTCCCCTGGGAAGAGGAAGTGAAACTGATAAATGCTTCTGAAGGAACAGTAACCTCAGGGGAGCTTTTCATATTGGTTTTCAGCGGTGAGAACGTGATTGTTGGTGAAAGATTTGGCTTTCCCACAGAAAGAGAATCAGTTGGTGGTATGTATTTGACTAAGGCTTGCGGCGGCGTACTGAGCTTCCTGCTCTTTAACTTTTATGATCAGGTAGGTACGCTCCAGCTTGTTTTCTGTATAGATGAATGTAATTTTCTCAGAGTTTTGTTCCTACGTGGAATGTGTTTGGGTGTTGTTTGTGCTTGAAGCACTTGCCACTGTTCTGACTTGGAAGCTTCTCGCTTGCGGGTATAAATATCAAATGGAAAAAATGAGTAGCCTGGATGTGCTTCTTTTCCATAGCTCCAGCCCAAACACCGGTGGCGGTTCGCAGGTGATGGATGGTTTAGATGGGACTCTTCACCCATGGACACTCGCTTCTGTTAAGCTTCCTTTGTTGTCATTCTTCTGTTTTCATGTGTGTGTACATAGTGTGGCAGCTTAGGGCAGAAGCAAGCAGGCAAATTCTGACCTAAGTTTTGTTACTGCTTCATTAGAGTCTAAGGTGCATTTCCCTTACCTTTTCCATACGTGACTGGGGAGTACAGCTTCCCTGTGAATTTCAAGATGGAAAATTAGGACTTGGCAGGTTTGCACAGGAGAACAGGGTCTGATCCTGCCTGAAACTCCCTTGGTTGGCTTAGTTTGACTTTTTGGACATGTTGCTGCTTTTTGAGGGATGGTGACCTTTTGAAATGTTTCTACTGTAGTTACAGTATCGTAAAGAATCCATAGAATGATACCACTCTTACTTCTGACCATCTGAAACGAGGCAGAGCTTCCAGCTGGCTGTTTTGTAGGTCCAAACAATGAATATCATTTCATCATCTCTCACTGTGTGCAGTTATGTGGATATAGCAATGCCCAGTGTGATAACATAAACCTTAGAAATGCTTTCTAGTTGCTTGGGAATCAGGGTGGACTTAGGGAAAATGGCAGTATAGACAGAACCTAACATACTTGAGAAATTTCTTGTACTTAATTTTGCATGTTGTTTTCTAATAAAACTCACAGAGCTGCTATTACTGTGATTTCAAGCTGCTGTGGTGACATCTGCCAGAATGTGCTCCATGAAGTCAGCTTTTTCAAAGCTGTTGTTTTCAGCAGGATAACCAAAGCGAGGCTGCTTGTTTTGACAGGACAACGGATGTGGAATGTGAAAATTCCTTACTTGTTTGAACAGGAAGCTCAACTCAAAATTAAATGCTGGTTTCTTATGCTGTTTCGTTGTTAGCCAAATGTCTCTAATAGGAGAACAATACGTATAAACCCTGTGCTCTTGAGGAAAGCTAAATGCAACCAGCTGCAAAAGCAAAGAGCTGATGGAAGTAAAATCAGGCACTAGCAGTTCCTTGACTGAAGGCAGGGAAGCCCCTGCTCTACAGGGTGGAGGGGAGGTGGAATTCAGTATTACTAATTGACCTGTCCTGGATTCCCCTGCTGTTACAGCGTTGCTGCAGAGACTTGTGTCTATGGGTCTAGTCCTGTGTGAATACAGGTGTCACAGCACATAGTTATTTATCTATGCACCCTAGTGCTTTTGAGAGGCCAGGTAAGTGCATGCAGGGTGGTGATGTGTCAGCGTTTCAGGTTAATGAAGTATTAGCTTTCACGTTAGCGAAATGTTATTAGGGTTAAAGTTGTGGCAAAATTTTCACCTTGGCTTTAGAAGAAACACCAAGTGATGTCTTAAAGTCTAATGAAAATTATTTGTGCTTCAGAAACGTCTGTAGTGAGCTGAACAGTGAGCAGCTGGTTAAACTGCTAAGCAAACCTGAAACTTAAGGTTTTAACAGTAGAATGTGAAGTATGTAATCTAAATGGTTTGCTGTTGATTAACAGGGACAGTCAAACTTGAGTGCTTCACAAACTCTTGCATTTTCTTAGGTTTTCAATCAGAATTATTTCTGGTGGTCAGTTCTGCTCAAAGATACTCAGAGACAAGTGTATGTGTTCTTCACTTCTGAGTGCTGCCTGTGTGAACATAAGAGAATTGTGGGCACACTGTATGCTTCTGTGGCACCTTAAAGAGGAGATAAGCATATCTGAGAAAGCACATCCCACCGTAACGATGTTCTGCAGAGGATGATTTTCATCCGGACTCTAATCCAGACTTCTGGGTAACTGACACCATATTTTTGTTTAGCTGCTAATCCAAATAGCATTTCTTCTTTGCAGTGCAAGGAAATACCATGCTGCTGCTTTGAATAAGTTAGTATTTAGCTACTCTTAATTATCCTGGCAGCAGGAAGAAGGATGCGACAAGTTTTTGATGTGCTCAACAGCTTATGCTTTAGCATTAAGCTTCTTGTATTAAAATTTGTCGTTTTTTATGCATTTTAAAAAAAGCAAATTTAAGGCAGCAATGAGTAAGTTCCCTGATACCAAAAATAGTTTAATTTTTGTGTTGTTTTTTTTTTTTTTTTTTTAAACAATCATGTAATTAAAAATCCTAGTAGTAGTCCTCACATAATGCATCTCTGTGACATACAAGGTGGCTTTGTGCAGCAGCCTGGCTGAATGTGACCATCGTGTCATATAGTTGT